ACTCAAGTAGAACTTTCTCTTCGAAACTGAAATACATATCCCACATATCCCCAACACCCTCTCGAGTCTTGAGCTCAAATTTGATGAACACAATGTTCCTTTCATTGTCAACTGAAGGTGAACAGTACTCGAGCTTCACAATCCTTTGTTTGTCTTCATAAGATAGGAGATTGTGGATTTTGTTTATGATATCTTCGAGGGGGTGAGATCGATGATCTTAAACATCCTTTTGGGTGTAGAGCCGCCGAAGTAGGAGACATTTGCGACATACCAATGGGTGTTTATTTGTGACATTTGTCTCATTACAACACACGTCTCCTGCAAGGCACCACCGTTGTTTTCCTGTGCTACTAGCCTGCCACAAGACATTTTATCTCTCACATGCTAATTGTACCAGACTCTGATATGGTACGAAAAAGGAGATTTATAGGGAAACTTGTTGATTCCTTTGGGCCATAAATCATGGATATCCAAAAGCCCATGATCTAAGACACCACAAAACCCTAATTGGAGTCCAATATAAAAGGACATCTTAAAGTAATTACAAGGAGGTTCAGAAATTCAGAGAGAGAAACACTTGGTGAAATTTGGTGAATAAAGCAAGCTAAACAAAACTAGAGAATTATTCTTCTCATCATCTCAAGTATAAGTTACTAATATTTGGTGTGGCAGAACCCGTATCTTGCTGATTGAAGATTGCAAGAAGACAGAGAAGTTACTCCTAGGTGTTCATTTCTTTTTCATTGCGTGTTTAAGAATGTTTAGCTTTGGATCCAATATTGACGTATGTACTAAGCACATCATGAGCTAAATTCCATTATTTTGAGCAATGTGAAGTTAATATGATGTAGTCTTTTATATTACATGATGTGTTGTTAGTGCTTCATTTTATCATGCATTATAATGTTATAAATCTAATTCTTTGACTGATTAACTTAGGAAAAGACGAAATCTTATTGTTGTAAGAAATCGAGCAACAAATGGAACTCATGATAAATATGATTCAAAATAGTAGAATATGAATATTCACTATATTAGCTACTTTGGACACAAAGAGATACAATCATAGAACATTTGATGAAACCAGACATGCATTAAAGTTACAAGTGAGGCTTAAAGTTTTTTCCCTTGCTTTATTTTTACACGTTTATGATGCTTTAGGAATACACAAACATATAACATCCTGATATCTTCTAGCACGACATAGCACATCATTTACACATAATAGAAAAGTTATATTAACAAATTATTGCCCAACATGCTCTCCATTATTGAGTTCATTTACTCTCACTAAATTGTTTATGTCCATTTTTACCCTAAAAATTGGACCTGTGACAACCATCAACTACTATTATTATTTTTGCTCATGCTCATTTACAAAAGTTAGTTTTACAAATAAATCAAAGTTATTTCCAAAACCTGTGGGTTTGATATCCTTACTATTTGAAAATCACATGTATACTTACATGTGACACCGCATATTTTCAAGCAACAATACCTCTTTAAATCAAACTAGCCATTATGAAACTAGTTGTTATTCAAGCTAACTGTTAGTGAAACCAACCGTTATTCAAATTAACCGTTATTAAAACCAATTGTTATTCAGACTAGCCATTACTCAAACTATTCGTTATTTATATATACTTTGATTCTTATCTCACTTTACTATCATTTTTCTCTCACTTTTTCATTACTTTTCTTTCACTATTTTCTCATTTTCTATCACCTCTCTCACATTCTTCTCTCATTTTCTATCACCCTTCTCACACTTTAATGGATTTAAACAATCCAAACAACCTCAACAAACTCTTTTGGGACATGATTGAAGATCAATTTATGGACAACACAGGCGAAAAACTACTACTGTCAGTACTCGAGAAGGAATATTAATATGAAAGTTCCTCTAAGCCAAAGAGAAAAACAATGATAGATCGAAGTCGTGAACAAGGGGCATAGATGATTATTCAATGAGTACTTATAAAAAAAATCCAGTATACACAGATGCCCAATTTTATAAAAGGTTCAGAATGCTTAAGCACACGTTTCTTAGAATTATAGAAACCCTTGCAGAAATGCATTTTCAAATGAGAACCGATGTAATTGGTAACTGGGCCTTTCACCATTGCAGAAATGAATTTCTACTATTCATATGTTAACAAATGGATCTTTCGCTGGCATTGTAGACAAATATGTTCAAATTGGTGAAAGCACTGCAATTGAGTGCTTAAAGAGATTCATAAGGGGCGTGAATGAAGTACTTTGGAATGAGTATCTGAGAAAGCCTAACAACAATGATGTTGAATATCTTTTACAAATGGGGGAGTCACATGGATTTTCAAGCATGTTAGATTTTATTGATTGTACACATTGAGAATGGAAAAATTGTCATGTTGCATAAAAATGACAATTTTATCGAGGTGATCACGGTAAAACCACGATCATGCTTGAAGTAGTGGTATCACAAGACTTATGGATTTGACATGTATTTTTTGGTATTGTAGGTTCAAACAATGACATTAATGTGTTAAACTAACCCAACATGTTTAATGATATTTTGGAAGGACATGTTCCCATTGTGCAATATACAATTAACGAGACTTTATATAACATGGGGGTATTATATATTTAACGGATGATATATATTTCGAGTGTGTTACATTTGTCAATAACATTTGGAGTGCTTTAATTTTGATTTGCAATTATACGTTGTTCAGTAGGTGTTTGGCACATGGAAACCCTCAAGCATATCATATATACTTGCATCATATTGCACAACATGATTGTTGAAGACAAACGACACATATGTAAGTGATTTTGATTACTCTTATGATTATGCAGATAACAACAACTCAATTACTAAAACATTTAACGGTCCTCTTCTGAATCTTGCAACAAGTCTATAAAGAAGAGCAAGTTTCCATGAAAAAACAAATTCATCACCAACTTTAATGAGATCTAGTCGAGTATATTTGAGCATATTTTGGACATGAGGATGACAAAATTTAAATTTGACTAATTATGTGATGTTATTTATTTTTATTGATTTTAATTATATGTCATGCATTTGAGATTAATTTTAATTATTGTTTTAAATTTTAAGTTTAGTTTTATTTTTATTTATAATTAATTAATATTAATTTAAATAATTCAAATTATTATTTTAAATTAAAATAAAATTTTAAAAAATAAAATATTAATGTATAAAATAAAATTGAGAGATTCAATATGATTTTTTTTAGAATTGTATAATTGGAGTGAAAATTAAATGAGTTATTTTAAAATAATATGTTTAATTGCAATTTTGATCCTCCTATTTTATTTTGGTTGAGTTTTGGTCCCCTTATTTTAAAATCAAGAATTTTTGTCCCCCTGTTATTTATTATTTTTATTTTTGGTCCCTTTTTTTAAAATCCAAAATTTTAGTCTTTCTATTTTGTTTTTTGACTTTTGATTCTCCTATTTTAAGTTTATTTTGAATTTTAGTCTCATTCCTAATAGAAAAAGTGGACCAAAAGTCTTAAAAAAAAAATATTAAAATTTCAAATTTTAAAATAGAGGGATAAAAAATCAACAAAAATAAAAATATGAGAACAAAAATTTCAAATTTTAAAATAGGAGAATTAAAAAATAAATAAAGGAATTAAAATTGCACTTAATTCAAAATAATATGATTTAAAAGAAAAAAAAATGGTTAGGATCATATTAGGATAAAAAAAAAATGGTTCTTGTAAAAGTGAATGGATGAAAAGTATAAAGGATGAAAAGTTTATTAAAATACAAGGTTATTATGTTAGAGAAGAAAGCCTAAAAAAGAGAGTATAACTATATAGAATGACAAAAATGCCCTGTTTTTAAAGTATGATTAATTTATCTATTTTCATACATTCATTTTCTACAATTCTCCAAAAAAGTATATATATTAAGGGTGTTTATGTCATTTAATAAATATTTTCCTATAAAACAATTCACTTATTTTCCATTCCCGTCTCTCCTTTACTATTTTTTCAATTCACTTTATTTCCATTTAATCATATTGAGATTTTTAGGGTAGAGAATATTTAGACTTTATCTTACACTATCATGTTTTCTACTTTCATTATTTACACACTACATTCTTAAAATACAAATAAATTCATAAGATTACATAATAGGAAAACTTAAAACTAAAATAGGGGATGCCATTAATCAATTTTATGTATTATTAGAGCACATGTAAAAATACCAAAATGTTCTCAAAATTCATCTCCAAATACATATCATGTACACCAACTTATTTGTTTTTGAATCAAATATCAATTTTATAATTAAATTTAATTTAAAAATACATTTTTAAAGTATTTTTGAAAATTCATTTTCCGAAATCTATAATGAAATAAATCCTAAAACAATGTGTTGTTGTTTCATGAATAAATCCTAAAACATTTAGGTATTTGTAATATGAATAAATTACATTTTTATCTATCAGTTTTTTAAATAAGCATCATTACAGTAGTCTTAAATCAAATAATTTATTATTAAAACCACTTCAATTTTAAAGAACCTTTTATATAATTTATGATGTATTTCGAAAATGTTATGCAATTTAACATCATGTTTTAAGTCGAGGGAGTAGCTTGTATCATGGATTATCCAACATGTTATAAATTAAAAAAAAAATTTAAATTAAATTTAATTATAAAATTGAAATGTGAATAAAAAATTGAAATGCGTATGAGATAAGTCTGAGAAACATTTCTTGATTTAAAAAACATTTTCGAATTTTCATAGAATATTATTTTATCACATAGGATGAATAAGGAATCCCTTTGAAATAAATAAAAATTAAAATCAAAAGTTGGGCTTTGATGTAAACCCATTCGGATATCCAAGCCCATCCCTCCCAATAACCCAAACACCAAAACCCTAGTTTATATTTTCACCTTCATACATTTTCCATCTCTTCCACTGCCAAACCCTAATCACATTCACAACGTAAATCATCTTCTCTTCCATCATCAAGCATGCCTCCTAAACTAGATCCATCACAGGTCGTTGAAGTCTATGTCCGAGTAACCGGAGGCGAAGTCGGCGCCGCCAGTTCTCTGGCCCCAAAGATCGGTCCTCTCGGTCTCTCCCCAAAGAAGATCGGTGAAGACATCGCCAAGGAAACCGCGAAGGACTGGAAGGGACTCCGCGTGACAGTGAAACTGACTGTCCAGAATCGGCAAGCAAAGGTGGCGGTTGTTCCGTCTGCGGCGGCGTTGGTTATCAAGGCGTTGAAGGAGCCGGAGAGAGACAGGAAGAAAACTAAGAATATCAAACATAATGGAAATATTTCGCTTGATGATGTTATTGAGATTGCCAAGGTGATGAAACCGAGATCCATGGCGAAGGAACTAGGTGGTACTGTGAAGGAGATTCTGGGAACTTGTGTTTCTGTTGGGTGCACTGTTGATGGGAAAGATCCGAAGGATTTGCAACAAGAGATTAACGATGGTGATGTTGAGATTCCTCTGGAATGAGATTTAGGTTATTTTGTTTTGGTAGTTTTTGAATTTGGTTTATTTTGTACGCGGAAATTTTGTTGAATGAAGTTATATTTGAAATTTATAAAATGGAATTGGATTGTTCTGCCATTTTGTTGAATGAAGTTTTATTTGAAATTTATAAATTGGAACTGAATAGTTCTGCAATTTTGTTGAATCAAATAGAATGTATGTGTAGAATTGAAATAAATTTGAATGTATTACAACTTAGTACTTTGATACTTAAAACCGAAGGCATTTCTTGGTGTCATAGAGTTGCTAAGACTAGGGTGTTTTGCATTTTCAGTTTAGGTGGACTCATTGAATTTTTTTGGATTTGTTGGAATTTTGGAGTTTGGTACCTTGGTTTGAATTTATTTCTATTTAGCTATATGATTAGAGTTAGCTTGTTAAAAAAATGATATATGATTAGAGTTAGGTGGAAGTAATTTCTATTTAGCTTGTTAAAAAAATGATATATGATTAGAGTTAGGTTATCTTTAGATGGAAGTAATGTAGTAGAATAAGATAAAATAAATTATACTATAATGTTTTATTTTACTTTATTTATTATTTTTAAATTCAAGTAATAAAATATAATTATTCCTGATTATATTCAATTCCACTAAATATTACCCATCCTAACATAGCTTAAACAAATGTGTGCATGTTTGAAGAGTTTATTACTATTTGTTGGATTGAGTTTGAGTGTAATCGAAGAGAATTTCTTTTTTCATCTTGGATTTTCTATTATGTGTCTAGCTTTTGAAAATATATCTTTGAATCTACCTCACTTTTAAATAAATGTGTATTTGTTTTCAGATGAATTATAAAAAACGATATCGAATAAAATATCAGACATACAAAATAATATAACAATATAATAGTAAAATGCTGAACAACACCCAATCCAAAATGTAGTAACAATGTCATGTAAAAAGTACAAACTATAGTAATATATCAAAATAATAACAGGCTCCTACTGGGTGTGCCTGACAACCTTTCCTCCACCTTCTGTGCCTCCCCTGTCTGGTCTTTTTGGTCTGCCTCCTCGGTCATCGATCCCCTCGTCCTCGCGCGATGTCTGCAGTACAATATTGCCCCTGTGTCTCCGCAACCATAACATCCGGTACTCGCCGCATATCAGACCCCTCAAGAAAAATACCTTCGTGAATGCCTACCCGCACAATCTCCAATATGCGATGACATCAAGGCAAGACATCCGCACTATGATCTAGCTGAGCCTGATGCTCCTCTAGAATCTCCTGATGAGCTGGTCTCGACGGATCTCCTAGAGCAGTCGGTACCATTTGGCGCTATGGTAACTCGAGCCTAATTCGGTACCAGATGACTCTGATAATCAGCAAACATTTCATCTATCTGAATATGAGTCAAGGCAGGAGGAACAGAGACATCAGGGTGTCTAGGGATGATCTGGGTGTATACAAACAACTGCATGACGCGCTTGGGCATACAAGGAGCAGTGATACGCGATCCGCAAGTCAGCCATTCAAAGTGTAGAGATATGTCGTCAAATGGTCGCGTCTGGCGGTGGTCCATATAACAGTTGAAGTGGATCTCCTCGATAGCCAAGCGGGCAAGATATACTCTGAAAGGCTCAACCGCCTGGGCATCTCCTTAGTGTACTCATCCCAACACGCCCAACCAGCGATACGTGGGAAGTGCTGGAGGATCCAAGTCTGAAATGAAAATAAAAAGCATTTAGGGATCAAGAATTATCGCAAATATGAAATGAAAATGATAAAAAAAAACATTCAAGGATAAAAAATTATTACCACCAGTAGTGTCGTGCTGCCCGTGACCTGCTTCGTCCTCCATCGACATCCATCTCTCAACTTCGAATACAAATAGGCCAAGCAAGCCGCCCCCCGGTTGCACTCATGGATCAGTGTGAGATCCAAGAAGTACCGGAGGTATGCAACGTCAGTATAGGTGGGACTTGTGTCCACAAAAATAAAAGTGCCAACCAAATAAAGAAAATATGCCCTTAAAGCATGAGTCTTGTGTAAGACCACCTACTTAGCATCACCATTAGCTTGCTGTGCAACAACGATCTCATCATCATATGTCTTCTTCAGGAACTCAAACCTAACATGAGCACCCCTAGTCCTATCCACCTCCTCAATCACGTCCAATGGATCATCCTCCAGATGCTCCACCATCATCTCGACCGCCTCGTCTTTGGTCATCCTACCATGATGAAGGAATCTCCCCCTGACCGAAAGATGTAACAAAGATGAGACATAATCCAATATGATAGACATCTCACCACGCGGGAGATGAAAATAAGACGTCTCAAAATGCCATCTCTCCATAAATGCATTATGCATCCCATGGTTGACCAAACTGTAATCGGTCATGCATAGGTCACACAACTCAGAAGTGGTTAAACCCGAATGAAACCACTGGTCATCCGACTGATGCAATGCTAAAATCTTTCTCCAATGATTCATAAAATTATGGGGATCACGCACCTACAATTTTCCAGAAATAATCAATGTCAATAATAATCAAAGTTAGAAATAATCAATGTCAGCAATTTAAGTTAACGTAAAAAATAAATAAAAAATAGACTAATGATACCCCTCCGTCCTAGATATGTCTGAAAGTGTGGTCTGGATACAGAGGAAGTATGAACATATCAAATGGATATCCTTTGAATACCTCTGGCTCGGCATCCTCAACAACCTCACCCTCAGGAGGTGACACTGGATCAACAGGATCATCAGTGGAAGGTGGCACCAGATCTGCAGATGCCTGCGGGAGAATGGTGGAAGTGACGCACTAGCTGGTGCATCCCATGTCCTACAGAAAGAAGAAGAAGAAGAAGGTGGAGTGGCCTAAGATGAAGATGAAGTGGTCTGAGATGTAGATGGAGTAGCCTGAGGTGAAGGCCAAGTCACAGGAGTAAACTGAGCCTTAGGAGTTGACGCCTCTTCCTGAACAGATGTACCTTCTACCTCCGGAACCTGTTGGCTACGTTCCCGCCTAATGGATGCTTGTTGGGAAACCTGCCCAAGGCACAGCCTGTCGACTCTGTCAGCCATTATGCCTACAAGGTAAAATTAGCCATATAATTAGTTTACGCAAATAAATAACAAAAACAAGAAAATTAAAAAAAAATAGTATGAGGAAATTCCGGAGATATATCTATGGAAACATTTCGGAGATGTATCTCTGAAATTTCCCAAAGTATATGAAACGCTGAACTTTTCCAGAGATGTATCTTTGAAAGTTTATGGGATTCAGAGGTCGCGACAATGGCGTCCACTGCTATTAAGAATATGAAAAATACTGTCCTAGTGGTCCATTTGAGCCAACAAGCAATACATACACTTACTCTAAACTATGTTTTATGTGATTTCTAAACATTTCTACATCTAACAATTGATTCTAACTCATTTACAACAGAGAGGTCTAATGCCTCAGCTGAAGGACTTATAGTTTTGTCAGCTAGACTCAATATGACTTTGCCGGTGGGACTTAGAGTTCCCATCAAGTACAACATTTAAAACTCCCCGCATAAGGGACTTAGAGTTTTCTTGGGCGGGATCCAACATATAAATCTCGCCAATAGGCGCGACTGAAGTCTAAGCTAAGAGACTTAGTTCAAAGTCTTGTTTGAGGGCTTAATAAAAGTCTCACCCGAGAGGTCCAATGCCTCTCCTGAGGGACTTATAGTCTCGTTATCCAGGATCAATATGACTTCACCCATGGGACTAAGAGTTCCCATTGAACATGCAATCTAAATATCCTCCCCCGAGGTACTTAGAGTTTCCTCGGACGAGATCTAACTTATGAATCTCACCTAAGAGGTGTGACTGAAGTCTAGCCTAAGAGACTTAGTTCAAAGTCTTCTCTAAGGGCTTGGTATAAGTCCCGCCCGAGAGGTCCAATGTCTTGCCCGAGGGACTCAAAACCTAGTCAGTCTAGTTCATTAGGCCATATCCCCCAAGAAAGTCATGGCTTTAGGATATTACAACACTCTATAGTCTAAAAGCACTTCGCCCTTCATCAAAACCCTCATGTTCGAAAGACTGTGTACTGTAATATTTGTAAAAGGCCAAACAAATACAGGAAGGTTATAGCCCTTGGAGGGGACAATGACCGTATGTCGTCCCTAAGAGGAATTGTCTTACCCTAAAGTATCTCCCATTCTCCTAGTTATGGGAAATATAGAGTACCATGTTTCATGGGCAGAGAGAAGTCAGAGTCAATATCTAATCCACGTTTTCTTGGGAAGTAGGGATTCAATGCTCTACTACTTTGACTAAGTGGGAGATTATCATTCCCAAGGAAAACCTAGGCCCGAGGGCCTCTCTCTCTCTCTCTATATATATATATATATTTCTTCTAAGGGAGAAAGACATATTCTAACTTAACAACATATCGCATAATACACAGAGCCTTTTACCTCATGTGACCTGGCCTCTCATACCACCATAAACATTGTAAATACCACCATACATGGCCTCTCTCTGCTGCGGGGAATCCCTAACTGTTATAAACCTACTAAGGACTTTTAGTATCCCCCACCCTTGTAGGGATACCATACACATCTATACTTTTTGCCTTTACAACTACCAGGTCAAAAAACTTGCATATTTTCAATTTTGGATGTGGTGGTAGTCGACTAACATATATTTGTATTCGGCTACCAGTGTTCAAAATTTGAAAAAATGAACATTGCAAAAAGTGGTAGTCAAATACCACATATTGGCAATCGACTACCAGGTTGAAGCAGTACATATTTTCATGATCAGACTATTTGTCACTCATTGCAATGCTTCATATTTTGATCTAAAACTTATGCATCCTTTCAAAGGGGTGTTTTAGGATGTATAAGTGTCTATGCATCATAAACAAAATTGACCTCTTTTCAAAATTTATTTTTCATATTAATTCAAACAAATTTTCAAATGTTCATTCTTCTCAAATGCTGAAACTTTTTGTATCAATTTCAAATTATTCAAAAG